ATGCCCATCGATCACCCAAATATAAACTTCCAAAGAAAAACAAGAAAAGATTCGAAAGTTGTAAGAAGAAAAAAAACCAATAAGTGAAAGCAATCAGATCATTTTTGAAAATGGTGGGAGCTTCATTTGCTTGTTGACTATCTTCATCTCATCCTTTCATTGTGTAGCATATAAGTACTGAGGAGATAGTAACACAAGAAATGAGTGAAGCTTGCTCTGGTCGCAGCCCTAATAATCAAATGGCTAAACATATCCCATGTCCAAAGGGGCATCATGAGGGACTAGTACCCAGTTCTATGCCCACTCTAATACATGCCTATAATGTTCACACTGTATACCACCTACACAAAGGATATGATAACATAGAATACACCCTATGGTCCAATGTAAGTAGTACACATCCTTTGTTTTGGCCCTTTTTTTTTGTATTTTAAATACAGTAATGGTCTATTTTCAGACTTATGTTGCATGCAGATAAATCTGTGTTTGTATTGTTAGACAATGAATTTAGACAATACATTTTGATCAAAATCAACAAAATTTAGGTTCAAATTTATAGTCTGACGAGAGAACAATTTCTGCTTCAATGACGGAATTTCTTTCTTTAGCAAGGGAAGATCGTGAAGAATGATGATGGTATGTATAGCTTGATATTTTTGTGAAAACAAAACAAAAGCATATGGTTTGATCCATCCATCGAATATAGCTCCTTGTAGCAAGCAAATCATAAGGGTTGTGACAAGAATGTGAGAGTTTTGGTCCCCAGTTGAATTATGGGCTGTCAAGTTTAAGTGTCTCCAACCACGTAGAGTTAAGGGTGCCATGTGAAGTGGCTGAGCTGAAGTTGGACAAAATACCACCACTACCATTGATAATGATGATATTACCAATCCAATGGGTGAGAGAGAAAGAGAGAAAATGATCATGATGGTGAAGAAGAAGATGAAGCCAAAAATGGGGTTCATTTTCCAAATAAATGAGTATGGCTTTGGTACTCAATTACACCAAGAAAAGAGACAAAAGGGGAGGACCTAACAACATTGACTACTCCCTCCCTTCATCCTCCATGCTTGGCATCCCTTCCGATAACCTGCTCATTTTCCTTTGGCTTCTCTCAAAGGCCCTACACAAAATGGCCACATGTGACTTGCACGTGACAGTTCATATGAGTCTTTGTCATAAGTTGGACTTGGGGAAAGGTGGCTTTAGACAAACTAACTTCATCAGATATATCAACTCATATGGCATGAATATTATGTTGAAAAAAGCTGCTACTTTTTGGTTTGCATTTAGCTTAGGGGTAGGTTTAAAAAACCGAAAATCGAAAAAAAACCAAACCGAACATCGAAATAAATGTCAAACAATAAAAAGTTTAATGTTTAGGGCATAAATTTTAGACTAATTGATTCAAAACCCTACAATAGGAGAGAGTTAAATGCACTCAGTACACCACCGTGGCGTTGTGAGGGGTGTATGTAACTCTTTCCTCTATAGTATATACCTTGTTTTAAAAATAGACAAACTTTTGAGTTGTCAATTAATTGATTGCTTAATTGATTCTCTTTTAGGTGATCAAGCAACATGATAACTTTAGAAAGTTTAGATATACTATAATATATATAATAATATAAATTAAAATGAAATTGCAGTTGCAAGTGGTTGTGCATTTTCTTAGCCGAATATAATTGATAGAAGGCGTAACGATTTTACATAAAAGTTGATCAAGCACTCAGACACTGATTTTGTGATATTATCATGTTTATCCTTAATTTTTTTTCATAATCCTGTTGCCTCCTCCTGCTTCTCTCCCAGCAATCCATCACTTCATCCTCAACAACAACAAAGCATTTTCTCACTAAGTGAGGTCGGCTGTATAAATTCTAAAACATCGTTGCAGTCGGTTCTGTGTCACTTCCAAAAAATAAAAGATCTAAAAAGAAAAAAAGAAAGCTAGGGACGACGTGAGTGTTGGGACGGTGTCGAGTTTGAAGCCAAAGACAGGGTGAGTGGTGGGACAACGTGAGTGTTGGAACAGCGTGAGTGTTGGAGAGCATGTCCGGTTCGGTAAATATCCGCACCGAAGGAAGCAAGAGCTAGCGACCAGTTCAAGGTCGATAAAATTCTCGGTTCATATTCTTTTCAGTTGGTTTAATTTATGCTTCTCTCAAATCCCCAAATTTTGATTGAATTTATGCCTCTTTCAATTTTGATTGAATTTATGCCTCTCTCAATTTTTGATTGAATTTGGCGTCCATTGATTTCTCGAGTGGGAGACGAGGGAGGAAGAGATCGAGTTGGGATCCTGGAAGACGAAGAAATATGTTTGATGTGCAGAAAGTGCGACGGAGAGGGATGGTACGATTGACATATTGGAAATTTATTAGTGACTCTTGTTCACCAGTGTTTTGATTAAAAAAAAAAATGCTGGTTTTTGAAAGTAGATGAGAGATATTTCCATTTTCTACTTTGAATGACCGTGATTTTGAAAAAAACTTGGGTTTGCTGGGGTTACCAAACACAAATTGGAGTCCAGTTTTTTTTCACTCCCTCCTATAAATAAAAGGTTAAGCAATCAAAAACCAATATTCAGAGACAAAACCGTACATCTAGTTAAAAATATTTGGAGCATTTTTGCTCATCACCATAACTATAATGTATGCTCAATATAACTATCTTGTATGCTCACCAACCTCATCACCTGCCACATGTCCCTTCACATAACACTAGTTAATATTGTAGACACGCAAATTTCAGTGAAAATAAATAGTCACCAAAACATTAAATTTCGGCATGCGAGGGGTTATGTGGCATGCAATGACACGTGTCAACACTTGGTGAAAATGCCAAATTGGAAAGATTGATTTGTTTAATTTTATTTAATTTTTATTTGATTAAATCAAATATTAATTACAGGAGTAAAATCACAAATTACGAACCAAGACACAAATCAAGTCTTGGTTCTTTTGTAGGCAAAGCTTGGAGAGTATAAATAGGAGGCTCCAAAACAACGAAAGGGGTCCAGAAATCATTTCATGCCCAGACGCTAAAGCTTTGAAACTCTAAAGCTCTAAAGCATCCAAATTCTCAAATACTCAGAAAAATTCAAAACGTCATCTACATTCTTTGCCAAAACATTTGAAAAATCATCAAACACCACCACACGTGCCGGTTTTTCCCTTACCACAAGGTAAATCCTTGAGGCAATCGTTCATCCAATATCAAGTCATCACGACCCTTGGATCAACAACCATACACACTTTACATGTTTGGATATAGAATCAGAGGATTCAAATTGTAAAATGATTGTAACCGTAAACTCATTAATACATATATTCTTTGTACACGTGTTCTTGTTTCATTTGTCACATAATTTTTGTGTTTACAATATTTTTCAAAATTGAAAAAAGACATATAATATTAAAGTTAGCTAGATTTAGATGAAATGACACATGACTAATGATAAAATATATAATGAGCACACATCTTAATTTATGATGGTGAGAAAAATGCTCCCAAAATATTTGGTACTTGGGGATTTAATTAGGATAGAATATTCTTGTTAGGGAAAATTATACTAAAAGGAAATGATTACATTATCCCTAAGTTTGAGTTTACACGTTTGAATATTTGACCCCACGACATGCAAATTGCAGACATTTTGTTCTCGTGTAAAAGCAAAAGAGTTTTAAAGGTGACGTCTACTTTTCAAACACAACCTTTACTTTCAAAACAAAACCTTAATTAAGATAACAACTAATTAAGACAAACACCAACTTTTTGACCAAATGCAAAATCCAGCTAATTATCCGTCATAATTTCACGTAGAAATTTACATAATACTCACATACCCATTCAGTTCAGCCATTGACTTAATTAAAGCAATTGTCCATGTATTCGGGTTTCCCATTCTTCTTTTTATTTAAAGCATCAATGACATTAACAGTAGGGTGGTCTAGTGGTTAGTATGAATTTCAAGCTTGTATTCCACACGGTAAATCCTATATTCGATTTCTGACACTTGTGAATCGTACGATGGTGGCTAGAGAGAGACTAAAATGCATTTGTAAGTCTTTCTGGCCCCCTGGAATGATGGACCGTTATGGCCAAGCCACCAGTTGGCCCCCTATCCAAGAAAAGTTATACCGAGAACTGATTTTGATGTGTATAGTTTAATAATCCGCAAAGGATCTTCTTTGTAATTTGGTTTAAGTTTCAAAAATAAAATTATTAAGCATTTTAAACAAATTATTTACCTTCTTGTAGTTTTAAGATTAATATTCATCCATTGTCCTCTCAGTACACAAAGAAGAGAGGAATGAATTCAAGCTGCCAAGCAAGACTATTCAAACTCCTGATTTCTGCAGTAATGATTTCGTTTACTGATTGCAGCACATGACTATGGACATAACAAGTCATCTTCCACATTCAGGACTCTGTGAAAAGGGACCAAAACCGTATTAGTTGAAACTGAAGGGGGAAACTTTTGAATTTCAACAAAGTTGCTAACCCTAGTTGGGGTAATAGTTACTTTCCCATGTGCCTCAACAAAACCCAAATCTTAAGCATCGATCCCCATCCATGAAAGAGTCTTCGACTCTTAGCCAGCCTTGGGAGGGAGAGAAATACTTTCTCACAAACGGTTTTAAACAATTATATTTCTCATCCAGTGACGTTATCAGAGTTTTATGTGATAAAGCTTTAATGTCACAAGTCACATGATAAAAAAAACAAATATATATTGGATGAATTGTGTCTTTATCGACACATACAAGTTAAGTCAATTGACCACAACAATACATCTTCCATTTTACACCAGGATACCTTATAATATATTAACTTTATTTAGACTATCACTTATTAACATCATTTCTTTTTCTTATCTTCTCCTCTGCATTTTAATTTCAATCTCTATACTAGGCCTTTGTAATCATGACTCCTTTTGCCATCATTGCCATGGAAAGCCCTCTCTCTCTCTCTCTCTCTCTCTCTCAAGTACAGATACACAAAAATAGCTATGTGGCTCATCTTTTCCTCCTAGGTTCTGCCCCAGACTTCTCTTCTATTTAAAGTCCAAGAACTCTATTTTTCACAAACCACATTTTTATTAGCCTTCTCTTCTCCAAGTTAAACTCTCTCTCTCTCTCTCTCTCTCTCTCTCTCTCTCTCTCTCTCTTTCTCTCTCTCTCTCTCTCACAGAGGCAGCAACTGAATTGTAAAGGAAACAATGTGTTTGAACTCAGAATTGTCTCCGTCTAGTCCTCTATACTCTTCTTTTCGCCTTCGAAGGCCATCAAAGCAACACAGCTTTCGAGTTCGCCGCCTAATTAACAGGTTTGTTCTTTCACAACCCATCTCTCTCTATCTCTCTCTATTATTCTTTGTTCTTATCATCAAAGAGATTAACAGAAGGTGTTTAAATTTTGTTTGTTATGTTAACACAGGAACTGGAAGAGAAAACCAGCTGGACCAGCAGCAAAAGAGGCAGAGACCGGAGGGGCAAAGGTAGAGATGGAAATGAAGAACTTGAAGCTGTATATGGAGAACCAGAGCATTATAGAAGAGAATATTAAGCTGAGGAGAAAAGCACTTCTTCTTGTCCAAGAAAACCAAGCCTTGTTTTCACAGCTCCAACAAAAGCAGCTTTTTCTCAACAAAACAACAGCAGCAGTATAATATGCATGCAGATGCACTAGGAGTCCCATGAAGGTCAGACACGATCATCAGTACTAGACTAATTATCTAAACACGTATTTAATGCTTAATTAATTTGCAATTTTCATGAGAAAAACTTAAACAAGAAGGAAATTGAGTAATAGGGGGCCTCTTTTATCCTTAATTTGTTCTTTCATCTCCTTGCTGAGGGATTAATTCCCCCACCTCACTTAATATGGGGTTAATTTTGGTTTACGTTGCAAAAATAATAAAATATGGTATGGTATGGTATGGTATGGTATGGTATGGATGATTTACCATTTATGTGCCTCCAAAAAGATCCAAATTAAGAATAGTGGTATATACAAATCCTCGCTAGTATCCTTGTGTAACTGCAATGTTTTATTTATTTCCTACTCTTTTTTTTGTTTTTGTTTTGATGTGTCTTGGGGCCCGGGGCAAACGAAAGATTCTTGACTGTTACAAGGTTGTATACAACTGTGTCTACTATTTAATGAAAGGGTTAATATAAAGTGAGATCATTGCTATTTGGTATTACAGTTTAATAATATTTCTTTTCATTTGTAAGTGAGAGGTCTTATGTTCGATTCTCGCTAAAGACGAATTTAAATCACATTATTGTTAACCAATTGTAAGGCTTAGTCCACCGCTTCCCTTTACTGTGAATAATATCGTTTTTTTTTAAATTAAAATAATATATATATATATATATATATATATATAACTATATAACTTGGAGATTGATGCATGTCTTTTTGATAAAAAAAATCACAACCCTATGTCTGCATAAATATCTTCTGATACTTGAGTTTGATTTATCAGCAACCAAAAAATACATGGGTTGAAAAAATAATTATCAGAGAGTGGTCAAAGATCCACTTCCAACAACACCGATATTATCTCCAATTTGGTAGTAACTACTTGCACAATCCGTCAAGTGTGAAGTTTTACCACAAATTTTTTTAATGTTAGTTAAAATGAGGTAATTCTATTTAAATTGCTTTTCTCTTTCTCCTCTAGATGTGGGGTTCAACAACAGCAAAGCCTGCTTGATCGTCCACCACCATATGTCCGTGATGGAGTTAATTACATATGGATTATGGAGAAAATTAAGGATCATGGGCCTAGGAGTCCAAGATTCAATGTCTATACAAAGGCCATTTAACTCGCTAGCACAGGAGGGAAGGGATCACAATCGCTTTAAATTCTACAGCAATCACTAAGAGTGCGTTTGGTACGTGGAATGGGACGGAATAGAGTGGGACGGACGTGTTCCGTCCTACGTTTGGCGCGCTAAAATTATGTGGAACGGCTGTCCCGCGGGACGAAAATGGGCTAAATTTTTTTTTCGCGCTCCCCCTGGAACGGGTATTTCCATCCCGTGGAACACAAAAATCATAAAATTTAAGACAAAAATACCCCTTAACTTTTTCAATATTTACACCATCTATATCATCCAACAAACCCTACAACTATCATTTCTCTTCTCTCTGCCGCTGTGAACGTTCATCCTTGCGCATCTCCCCTTCGCGAACTTTCAGCTCTTCATCCCTGCCCATCTCCCCTGCTGCTTGTAAATCCTCCAATCTTTATCTTTAATTAATTTTGATGCTGCTTGTAAATCCTCCAATCCCTAGAACGGGTTTGGTGTTTGTTGTTGCTTGTAAATCTCCCTTCGCGACCTCGTTTTTCTTCCTCAGAAGCTCCTCCACGGTTTCCCGAGTCGGGTTCTCCGGCGGTTCTAGGGTTGAGTCCGCGGAGTGAGCTTCGTCTGTGAAATCTGCGGCAGCTGCTTCAGATGAAATTGAAGCGTACGGCCGCGAAGGAACATTGTACGGAGCAAGCCTGAGGGCTAATTTCAAATTCAAATCACAAAATTGAGTTAGAAATGTGTGTATGAGTGTCGAGAGAGAGAGAGAGTACCTTGGTTGGAAGGAAGCGGAGAGAAGATGAGGGAGGGGCAGTGGAGGAGAGAGACGGTGGGTTGATTGGTTCGGAGGGTGGAGGTGATTGAGGAGAGAGATGTATGGACTAGGGTAAGTTAGTCATTTTAATATTTTGATTTCGTTCCCTCCTGCGCTTACCAAACGCAGAACGGAACAACTTTCCTGTTCTATCCTGCGCATACCAAACATAACATGGAACCACCATTCCATTCTGTCCCGTCCCGTCCGCGTACCAAACAGTACCTAAGTGTCGGAGCGTCTTTTGCAAGTACGCACCGGACATGCTCTTATTGGTGGCAAGTGAAGATGGTTTACAAAATTACTTGTTGGAGAACTGAAGAACTCAACCATTGTCTTTTGCTCATGAGACTTTTCCAAGTCCAGCCAAAAAGAAAGAAAACTAAAGGCAAATTGAATGCCATAGTTACATTTTAATTATTTATGCCAAACGTTGGTGCAAGTACTTTCAGTTATCTCAAAGCTTTATTAACTGATCCCTTACTAGCTTGCACATTAAGAAATTAAAAGAAAATTAAGCATCATTAAATTGGTTAACAAACTGAGCTTCCCTTTCCCGCCATTTGGACTCGTATGGGCGCGAAAAACTCTTACATCTCTCTCACTTGTGGAGAGGGCCCGACCTCACGCTGGTCTCCCCCGGTGAAAAAACTGCCCTACTCATGCAGCCTACAAAAGTTTCTTTTAAGGAATTATTTGAAACCCTTTCGTTTCCTTGTTATTTCAAATCTTGGCATACATGAACGGTACATGATCCGAAAGAACAATTTAACCTTATAATTTGAACCGAATCCCTAGATTTGAAATCATTCCGCCCAAATTTGCATCTACAAGTACTAAAGGATGTAGTGTCACACTTACATATCAACTAAAGTTAAAGCAACAATCATGTGAATGTCACGGCTCAACGATAGGGTTTAATGGCATGTGAATGACAAGGAAACAACAGCTACAACTATTTCAGTCACAAGGCTCCTGCCAAAGTAGATGTGAGAAATGCAGGCGGTGGATTGTCCTGGTCGTTAGGGCTTCTCAACCAACTGCGTTTTGGGTTCAAATCATCCTTCTTCACTTAGTGTAGATTACTGTAAAATATCGCTTGTAACAAAAAAAAATTATAGAGAAAAAAAGGAGTAGAAGTGATAAACAAAGAACCAATTCTTATTGCGACATAGAACTACTTCACATAATAACATTCCCAAAAGCATTCATGTCTGTAATTTAAAGCTAAGCAAAAACCAAAGAAAACATCACTTATAAACTCTGAAGGAAAAAGACTCAGCATCCCAAGGAAAAAAAATGTCCTAGACAAGAAAACTACCTCAATATCGACTGACTAAGATGAACTCATCATCATCAAGAACTCGGACATCCTTTTCTCCGACAAAATTCTCCCGCCCAATTTGCTTAATCAAGTTCACAAACTCTACCCTCTTTGCAAGAGGAAGAGGTACATATGGCAGCCTGAAGACCGGCCTCACAACACCAAGTTGGGCAAGTGCTGTGTTTAAGCCGATGGGATTTGGCTCTTGGAAAAGCCACTTAACCAGAGGCATAATTTTTGCATTCAGAGACGGATTCTTCCCCCCAAACATGAGCTGACGCATTAAACCTGGAACCAAGTTACTAGTAACAGATATGACTCCGGTAGCTCCATGGCTCCACCTAGAATCATGGCACTCATCATCATTCCCACTCCATACCACAATTTTCTTCCCAGTGTACTCTTGAACCCGATCAGTTCCAACACACTCCTTGATACCTGCGAAGTTAGGACTTTGTGCCAACGTGTGAACCACGCTTGGAGGGATATCTTGGCCGGTTCGTGATGGCACATTGTAAACAATTGTGGGTCCCATAGATAAAACACTATCGAGGTGCGCAACCAATCCCTCCAAGGAGGTTTTCCCATAATAAGGATTGATGTGAAGGGCAGCATGCATTCCAACAGCAAAACCCTGTTCGGTGGCATGAATTGCTTCTCTAGTAGAATTACTTCCTGTGTTTCCTATTACCTTAATTGATCCACCATAGCAGTTGATCGTGTGGCCAATGAGCATTATATGCTCATCCCAGCTCATCAATTGGCCTTCACCAGTCGTGCCACCAACAATCACACCTTCAGCTCCATTTTCAATCTGCATATTGACCAAAGCATCGTATGCTTCAAGATCAAATCTGCCATCTGGTAGATATGGGGTTTTGATGGCAGTTATCAACCTAATGGACTTTATGTCATCCACCGATGTCCTGAAAAATAATGTAGTTGTTCTAAGCACACGATTCCTTATCAACCACAGTACTGAAACAACAGAAAAACACGATAACTACATGAATTTAACAGTGGACCAGGCACCTTTTTCAATAGGTATGGTAAATAGAGTATGAGACTGAGGCTAGCAGGACTTGCTCAAAGCCAGAACCATTTAATCATATGTATTTACAGGGGGCATACAAATATGAATAAAGTTACAAGTTCGTGCTAAAAATAGCACCTCTTCTGAGCTCTAAAAACACACAACACTACGAAAGAACTATAACATACGATTTTACTCCAAAACCCGGAAAAGAAGAGCAATAATCAATTCTCATGAACTTTTCATGCATTTGGTTCTTCTAACAAATCTGACAGACTAATCTATTAAACTCTTCATGCATTTTGCTCTTCTAATCAAATCTAATAGACTAATTCTATTGACCCAGATTCTTAGAACCATCAAAGATTCTTGGAACCCAATCTCCAATTTCAAATCCTTCAACCCAGATTAACATGCATGGAAAATTACCTGTTTTTAACTTCAAAACTACGCATTGGCAGATGAAAATTGGGAATTACAGCTGCCCGTGGACACCTCCATTCTGTATTCCGCCTATTTATCACCAATATATAAAAAACAAGAAATTAATAATTAATTATCAATCAATTTGTACACTCTGTTTTTCTTCATCCAACATATTTAATTGATTCTGATCTAATTTAATAAAGCAGAATACAAAACTATATGGAGAACAAAATTGAAAAAAATAATCATCAAATTGAACAACTAATTAATTAAATATTAAGAAAATAAACCTCTTGTAGTTATCGCTAAGATGGTGACGCGGAAGCTGGAGAGCAGACTCTCGCAAACACACGCTGCAGCTCTTCAACGTAGCCATTAACACGGACCCGACGGAGAGATAGCTCGAATTCGAAAGCTAGAAATTCTGTGAGAAGAAGAGGACGCAATGTCAGAGTTGAAATTTCAGTAAATGGTGGTGGCGTTAATGGCAATGGAAATGGTCGTGATAATCGTCGTGGTGGTGGAGGTGGAAGGAGTTTGGGGGAGGGAGGAGCGGAGGTTGGAAAGGCGGGGCATGTATTCGGGCACGGTCGATAAGCGGACAATGGAGGCTGCGCGACTGTGTATATCTCTGTGTCTGTGGGTTGTTTATTAGGGTTTTGTAGGGTGGCGGTGAGTGGACTGGGAGACCGACACGTGTATTTATTTCTTTATTGCTTATTTTATATTCTTTTTTTGGCCTTTTCTTTTCTTTCTTTTTTTGTCAAATTTTATTTTCTTTATGAAAATACATTATATTTATTTTAGGTTGCTAAATTTGGTACATTTTGCTGCTTAGCACTACAGTTTTGTAGTTTTTCACTTCATTTGTAAGAGAAATATCGTAGGTTCAATTATCACCAGCCAAAGCCGAATTTTAATCACATTATTATGGCTAACTTATTATGAAGTTTGGCTCACCACAATTATTTTAATGTAAATAATATTGTTTGTTAAACAAATTTGATACTTTTTTTTTCTTTTGAAAAAATAAATTTGGTCCATTGTGATGTCTCTCCACACCACAGTTAATTATATATGTTGAAAAGTGTGTGCGAGTCATACAGATAAGGAGTGTAATGTTATTATGCTATCAACCATTGCATCATGGACTTGTTAAATAAAAAATTAGTACCAACAATTGGAATATTGGTGGTTTTTTCTTCTTTCTTCTTTATCTCATAATGCAAGAGGGGAGTCACATCAACATTTTCTTTTATCAATAGTCGACATGGTGCAAGTTGGGACGGTATTTTCAATTCTGATATTAAAATTTTCAAATTCCAAACTGTAATTTTAAAATTCGAATATTTTCTAAAAATTATAGTGCATTTAGAGATTTCAAAATTTTTCAAATTTTCGATCCGAAATTTTTAAAAGTGTTCCAAACTTATTTCAACCAAAAAAAAAAAACTTCCTAGATATTCTAACTTTTTATAGATAATTACTCAAATCATTAATTATGTAATCAACTTTTGTATTTTAAGGTTAGTTTTGGATAAATTTTGTTTATTATTTTTATATTAAACATATTGTTTGGACCCAAAATATTGGGCTTGGGCCGAGCGAGACTTTGAGCTCAACTCAAAATGAATATAATATAAGAGTCAAGTTGGGATGGTGTTCCCAATTCATATAGCAAACTTTTCAAATCACAAACTATATTATTTCAAATCCAAATATTTAAAAAAAAAAATGGAATGCATTTAGAGATTTCGAAATTTCTGACCTAAATTTTCCGAAGTGTTACAATATAAAAAACTTCCAATGTATTTTAACTTTTTATAGTTAATTGCTCAAGTTATAAATTTTGTCATTAACTTTTGTATTTTAAGGTTAGTTTTGGAAATAGTTTGTTCATTATTTTTATATTAAACACAAGAGTCCCTTAAATTTGGAGATAAAATGCACAAAAACATTGATGTTTTTGGTTGGTGAGAAAATGCAAGGAAAATGAAACTAAATAGAGAAGGATGGTTTGAGGTTTTACTTGGCTTTTCATAGGACTCCTCACCAACAGCTCCATTTGGGAAAAGAAAGGTAGCTTGGAATTTGTTTTAGTTGTTGCAGAGAATAAAATTAATGGAGTATTTAGAGTTAGCATGATTAATCTGATGTTGGGCTGTTGTTCACACACTTATCCTAAGTAAGAACAATAAATTGCATATATGAAAGAGAATATTAAAAGATTATAAATATATGATTTTTTGAATTATGTTCCAAAATTTCAGAGAATATGTCGAAAACTTTAAATTTAAAAATTGTGATCTGATTTGCCACTTAGTACTACATCTAGTAATATCCCTCTTCACTTTTAACTTATAACTAAGAGGTCTTAGATTCAATTCTCACCATATGCAAATTTTGAATCACATTATTGTTAGCCCATTGTGAGGCTTAGCCTACTCTCCTACCTCTTAGTGTAGATAATATCATTTGTTTAGAAAGAAAAAAATTGTGATCCGATTTTGAAATTTTATAACGAAAATTGGAAGCGTTGTTTCCGATCCAATCGTTCTAAAAAACACCTCTAGTTTGATAATTCTATTGATGAACATTCCAACCAACCTAGACCATCTCCTTGAGGCAATGTTTCCCATTAGTCTAGTTTGACATCAGTGATATCGATTTTAAAGTTTACTTTTTTTTTTTTTTTTTTTACCATTTCGAAGTCTATTTACTTTTCAGTTATGTAGATTGGCTCATCAACCACAAATTTCTTTTGTAAGCAATTGTAATCACAATTTTATCATGAAATGGTTACATTCAGTTTTCTACGGTTATTATTATCATATTTTCATTTACAACTTGGCAAACACTCATTTCGCATTGGATTTAAGTCCTCGCTTACTCAAGTCATGAGAAAAATACTCAATTGAACTAACAACCCATTCGAAGTACATTAGTCACTTTGGTTAAGAAATCATATCTACGTCCAAACCTAACATAAATCTAAACGGGTTCATTAGATATTGGTCCTGAAAAATCATGATTTCTAAACATAAACCCACATAATTAAACATCCAACAAAAACTCAATAGTCAAATAAACTGCCACATGAGAATATAAGTAATCTACTAATACAAATTATTTACAATTTTTGCCACAACCCACACTTGAAAATTAGCTTCAATCAAGGGCCTTAAAATCTGATTAATCATCCTAACGTTTTTTCTATTTATTTATTTTTAATTTCTACAACAATCTAGTGCATTACTTTATATCATGACTACATTATTATTCGGTGTAAATTATTCTCCTTACATATAATAGTTAAACGTCCCTACTTTACCTATATAAAGAATATTGCCCTATTGTCTGTAATTTACCTACAATATATAAACAAAATATTCTCATATTTCTTTTGGCAATTTACCTATGACATATGCAAATATTCTCATGTTTTGTTGGCATTTTTCCTAAATTATGCAAGTAGGTAAATTAATATAATAGTAGGTAAATTTCAATAATAGTAGGTAAATTATGCAAGTAGGTAAATTATGTACGTTTTTACCTACATGTTTTTATGTGAATCAGATATCTAGACTGTATAAGTAAATAATTTACCTATAGTTGGTTATGTTCCTTTTCTTTGTCAAATTAATTTACCTACAATTTTTATCTCCTTTGATTTATATATTTTTACTTTGACAACAAATTTTTTTTTATATATATTTTAAAGTACAATAATTTACCTATATATAATATGGACACGTTGTAATGGTAAATTGGAATTCAAGAGCCAAACTAGCCAACAAATCCTTACATTTATATGCAAAATATTATTTTTGTAAAATCATTAATTCCCCCTTACAATTTACATAGAATTAATTGTGTACATTAAACATTCAATAAGGGTGTTTTAGGCATCCAAAAAATTTTAAATGGGTAAAGTCAAACATAATTAATAAATTTGCTTATGTGGAGTCTAGTCGATGAGTTTTATTCGAGCAAAAAATTTATGTTGCGTTTTATGTGAAGAAAATTGAATTCCAGGGACTAAAGTTGACACACCTCGAACTAGATCAAGGCATATACTGGCCGTCACGTGAGGGTGACGTAGCCATGTGCATAGTGCGGAAGCAATAGAGATATAAGGAATTACGAATAAACAAAAACTAAATCAACTAGAGTACCAGCTAAGTTAGAGTGCTAGTGCGAGATTAAGTGTGAAATACACAACCAAAGCATAAATAGCCTAAGTGTAGTCAAGCAGGACAAGTACTAATTATACAACACCTAACAGGATCATACATTAATGATGTTTTATTAGAACCCCCATCGAAATCCTCGTGATCCACCAAGCACTTCTACGTAAAACCTGGAGGGGCGCAAAACAGAAAGTGTGAGTGGGTAAAAACAAAGCTTTTCAAATCATTTCATTTCCCAAAAGTTCTAACCGCTCGCCGTAAAACCTGTCTAATTTCCCAGAAAATAATAGTGATAATAAGCTGCATCAGAAATCATATTCAAGATGAAAATCCATAGAAGTATACCATGCAAAGTATCTCAATGCAATGCTATAAGTAATGCAGGCAAAATATATCGATGTCAAATATTGCATCAGCCAAATCCCTCTAAATCAAACTGCACGACTGAATATATAGCTCAGAACCAATCTCAATTATATCAAATCAAATCCTGCACATGAGTCAGAACCACCTAAAGTGGTCTGTAAGACAAGACTAGGTGTAAAGTAAATATGCTTTAGTGCTACGATCACGTGAAGGCTGTGCAAATAATCGCGGGTCATCTACGAGTCGGAACCACCTAAAGTGGTATGTACGACAAGCCTGTGCACCTAACTTGGATCTAAGGTGAGCATATGGTGCGGGAGGTGAACACCACGTGAAGGACTATGCCCTAACTCTGGGCGGGAGCATTAACACTGGGGTGCAGGTTTATGAGCTCTCAATACATCACATCATATCTCACATAACTAAAGTAACCTCAACTGTTAATTTATGAACTTACCTGGCACTTACTTGTGCGTCCGCAGCACCAATCATAAATATATGCAACTACTAATGCATAAATAAAATAGGCAGATACTTTGCATGACATTTCAAAACGTATAATCATTCAATTTCATTTTCTGGGAAAAACTCAAGTATATAGGTATATACGGAAAACCAAAAACCCATTCACTAATATGTCGAATGGTCGTAGCCCTCGAGCCTCGATTGATGGCGCTCGTCCTCAGGATAGGTCTCACCTATATGCGAAATAAATGAATAAACGTTATTTAAAGCACATACACAAAACGAGGAAATAACTTTTCATACAATGCTCAAATAGGGTATTTGAATATACCACCATGATCTACTCAATCTCAGGAACATCCCTATATTTTTAGAAAAAAATTTCAACCACTCACGCGTCGGCCAAGGCACTGCCAGATGCGCCCCCACACACGGCCAAACCGTAATTGAAACTTAACTGCCGTTAGGAATATTCCGTTAAAACCTTAACAGAAATTAACGGCGTTACATGATGCTGTTAGAATATTCTGTCAAACTTGACGGAATATTCCTTTCTCTTTTCTTGGTTCGCCGGAGTCCGACGCCGATCACCGCTGCACTCGCCGTTTTCTGGAAAATTTTAAAATCTTCATATCTCATTCGATTCTCAACCAAAATTCACAAAATTTATACCAAATTGAAGCTTAGGATGAGAAGAACACATTCATACCACTTTGGAGACCTAAAACCAATGGAAAGTCGCCTGAAAAACCTTCGATATTCCAGCCAAACCTGCAACTCACTAAACCTGGGCTTCCTGACGTCCAAAACACTTCGTTTTTTTTTTCTCCGAGCTTCGCGAATACATCCTAAGGCTCACTAGCAGCTTAAAATCTCCTAAAAACTTCACATTCACGATCACATGAACAGTGCATTGAAACTGAGATTTCTGGTTCTCGGGAAAACAAGGTATTCACTTCAAACTAAGGGCATGGATGACCACCTGGACTCACGAGGAACACAAAAACACCTTCTTCGACGTCGATCTGTGAAGATAGGGTCTGGTTTGGGTGTTGTCCATACGAGTGTATGGAAAATGGAAGAAAACCGAGAGAAAAAAGAGAAAGAGAGAGTCAACGGGAAACGGTTGGTGTGTGTGTAGTCCAGATTGGTCCCCAACCAAAGACAAATAACTTAAAAATTGGGTCCAACCATTTAGGAAATGAACTTAATTGGTCCAAAACCTTAGCTTAATTCACAACACAACCAAATGCACAAGGGAAATTTAGACTTTTCACACCACCAAAAAAAATAATTCGGGACGGGTTGTCACAAAAGTCATATTTTCAGAAATCTAAACACACCTTGTCTGTTGACAGCTTCCAATGGTGGCAAGCCTATTTTCTCTTTCTCTCGACTTATTTTGTGGCACCGAGATCGAAAGCAACGCTCGAGGCAAATAACGTGTTGAGCCTAGTCGGACTCTATTCGAGTTTTAACACCAATTCAACTTAACTAGCCCTAATTTGGATCATTGGTGGTTTTTTCTTCTTTCTTCTTTATCTCATAATGCAAGAGGGGAGTCACATCAACATTTTCTTTTATCAATAGTTGACATGGTGCAAGTTGGGACCGTGTTTTCGATTCTGATATTAAAATTTTCAAATTCCAAACTGTAATTTTAAAATTCGAATATTTTCTAAAAATTATAGTGCATTTAGAGATTTCGAAATTTTTCAAATTTTCGATCAGAAATTTTTCAAAGTGTTCCAAATTTATTTCAACAAAAAAAAAAACTTCCGAGATATTCCAACTTTTTATAGATAATTACTCAAATCATTAATTATGTAATCAACTTTTGTATTTTAAGGTTAGTTTTGGATAAATTTTGTTTATTATTTTTATATTAAGCATATTGTTTGGACCCAAAATATTGGGCTTGGGCCGAGCGAGACTTTGAGCTTGACTCAAAATGAATATAATATAAGAGTGCAAGTTGGGATGGTGTTCCCAATTCATATAGCAAACTTTTCAAATCACAAACTACATTATTTCAAATCCAAATATTTAAAAAAAAAATGGAATGCATTTAGAGATTTCGAAATTTCTGACCTAAATTTTCCGAAGTGTTACAATATAAAAAACTTCCAATGTATTTTAACTTTTTATAGTTAATTGCTCAAGTTATAAATTTTTTCATTAACTTTTGTATTTTAAGGTTAGTTTTGGAAATAGTTTGTTCATTATTTTTATATTAAACACAAGAGTCCCTTAAATTTGGAGATAAAATGCACAAAAACATTGATGTTTTTTTTTTTTTGAAAACTGGAATAGATAACCAGGGCAAAGATGCCAGAAGAGAATACAGCAAGCCAACAGAAAGGCCAACAAATAACCAAACACAACCCAAGCAGGAAAGGGGATGGAGAAACAGACAGTAGAACCAAGTTCCACTGTCACCCCACTCCTACCAACAAATCAAGGGGGACAAGGCAAACCGTCTTTATCCAGAACATGAACCAACGAAGACGGAGGTCGGATGACCCAATAGAAATTGCACATCTCTGTACAAAGACGCGACGCCAACAGATCGGCCGCCCGATTAGCTGACCTTGGAACCCAAGTCCAGCGACAGTCCTGAAAGGACTTTCCAAACCGTTTAGCAACAGTTAAGGTAGGAAAGGCCTCCCATCTGCCAGTCTCCAACGAAAACGATAACGCAGAGATAGAATCCTTAAAATCAGACTCCACAATGATACAACCAAGACCCAATTCCGCAGTAAGCTCATAACCCTGAACCAAAGCCAAAGCTTCGGCAGTGGCAGCACTAGGAGCAGAGTTAGGCTCCTGCCTGGCAGCAACAAAAATGCCCCGCTTCGCCCTGATCACGACCCCAACAAAATCTGATGAAGAGGAAAGAGACCAGCTAGCATCAACATTAACCTTAAAAAAATGGGAAGGAGGAGGGGACCATCGAACCTCCTGACTGACCTGAGACAACGAAGCAGTGGTCACAGGGGCAGGAACACCATTAGCTTCAAAAAATAGCCCACTGGCAGTGCGAATGGCCATAAGAACTTGAGATGGGCTGAGAGTAACGTGATTGAACAAAAAATTACAACGAGCTTTCCAAATACGCCAACAGGAAAAAACAATATAAGAAAGAATCACACATCGCTCCTTCTTCGACCCAAAACGACGGGAAGCAACGGAAATAATCCAATTCAACTAAGAAGAGATGGAAGATCGATCAATTCTGAGATTAAGCATGCCTTTAAACCAAATAGGTTCCACATAAGGGCACAACAAGAAAATATGTTCCAGAGATCCTCCTGCTTATGACAGATCAGACATAGAGGGGACGACACCATCTTCTGCACAAAGAGATTCTCCAACGTAGCCAAGGCACTATGGGCAATCCTCCACATAAAATGATGAACTTTAGGAGGAGTTTTTAAACTCCAGATTAGCTGCCAAATCTGCGATGGAACCGTGGACGACGAGGACGCACGGGTAGACACTGAGTACTGTCGTGAAGAACGAGCCCAATGGTATCCAGATCGCACAACATACATCCCATTTTGAGTGGGAGGCCAAACAAGACGGTTCAGCTGCAAATCATCTCCAAGAGGGGTTTCTAAAATCGCATGCCTCTCCTCCGCCGAAAGAAACAGATGAAGAAATTCGATATTCCACGAACGGGGAGAAGACGTCAAAAGAGAGGCCACCATAGTATCTCTAGTAACAGACACCTACCCCGACCGATGATGACCCAAAGGAAGTGAAGGTAACCAACGATCAACCCACATACGAACAGACCTCCCATCCATAATTTGCCAGTATGCCCCATGAAGTAAGATCTCTCTGCCCACCAATAGACTAATCCAAGCCTAAGACGCCCTACTGCCCTTCTGAGCATTAAGAAACGAACAATTCGGAAAATATCTAGCCTTAAGAACCTTGGCCCATAACGAATCCGGATTGTGAATCAATCTCCAACATTGTTTCGCCAGTAACGCATCATTGAAATCCGAAAAGTTCCTAAATCCCAAACCCCATTCCTTCTTTGAGAGGCCCAGAGTATGCTTGGACACCCAGTGAGATTTCCGGTGCTCGCCCACTGATCCCTACCAAAACTTAGCAATTAAAGAATCTAATTCATGACAAACAACCACAGGAAATTTAAAAACACTCATAAGGTACGCAGGAATCGCCTGAACGCCAGCTTTGATTAAGACCTCCTTACCCGCTAGAGAGAGATTATTAAGCGCCCACTCATGACTTTTCTTCAAAATCCGACCTTTGATAAAAGCCAAACCTTGCCTCTTTGATCTACCCCACAAAGCTGGAACCCCGAGATATGTACCCGGATCATTAACAACCTGCATATGGAGAATGTGGCCTAACTCCCTCGACACCTCAGATGGTGTATTAGAACTAAAAAACACAGACGATTTTTGAAAGTTAACCGCCTGGCCCGATGCAGCATAGTATTCATCAATAAGCTGGACCAAAGAATAACAATTTTGTCGATTGGCCTTAAAAAATAGAAGAATATCATCTGCAAAGAAAATATGGGAAATAACTGGAGAATGCATGTTCATCTTTACACCAGCTAATAACTGTTGATCCACAGCCACTTGAATCATCCGAGAAAGAACAACACTAACAAAAAAGAACAAGTAAGGAGATAACGGGCCACCTTGACGTAAACCATGTGAAGGAGCAAACTTACGACCCGAGTGCCCATTTAGCAGAATCGAAAAGGAAACCAAAGTCACACACCCCATAACAAGCTTGCGCCACCTAGAATGAAAACCTATCTTTTCCATCACGGCATCCAGAAAATCCCACTCCACCCTATCATACGCCTTTTGCATGTCCAGCTTAATCCCCATCTCAAACCTACTCTTAGATTTCCTCAATTTGAGGAAATGAAAGAGCTCATGGGCAACTCCAATATTATCCTGGATTTGGTGACCACCAACAAGAGTGTTCTACATGGGAGAAATGAGATGCGGCAGCAGAGGCTTTAGATGATTGATGCGAAATATATAAGCACACAAATTAAACCCTCTTTTTATCAATTGTAGCAAAGTATGTAAGTAGGGATCGTTCTAGGCCATGGATTAGGAGGGATTGCTCAATCACTTGAAAACTGACTCAAAACGTAAAAACAAAGGTTAAAACACTAAACTAGACTCAAAGAATGCAAAACTAAACTTTAAAACACTAAAACAAACCAAAAGACTCAAAACAGCCCAGAAACACTCAAAACTGCCTTAAAAACACAATCTGGGCAGTTTTGAACACAAAACACAATTTGGACGAAAATAGGTTATAACTTGACTCAAGATACTTAAAAACACAAACTAAAATGATTTCTAACTAATCTAACACTTCAAAATAAATGGGGATTTGGTTTTGACGAAAATTGAAAACAAAAACATAACTTTGTAAACTAAAACAGATTGTAAAACGAATTTGGTTAAAGTGAATGGATGGAAAGCTAGCTAAGGGGTTCTTCTCCATAAATGTCACACTTGCATACAAAACAATTTCCAATTGCTTCTCAATAAACCATGAATTCCCAACGCCCCAGATTAACCGTGAATTGCACTAATTAACCCTCAGAGTTTCCTAAAGTTATCGAATTGGATGAATTGCATACGAAAACCCAAAGCATTCCTCACAAGTTCCCTGCATGAATTGCATAACAAAGATACAAGCAAAGATCATTAAGTTCTATGAAAATCATAAGCATTGGCGAGGCACTTGTTACTATGAACGGCATGAAACTTATGCCAAGAATTTACTTAACACGATTGTGATCAACAACCTTTACTACTTTTGAATACGAGTTTATAACGATTAGGTGAAATTCCCTTATATCCTAGCATCAAACTTATGCATGAACATTAAGCGTGCACTCTCAACCAACACACACAAATCAGTTTTAATTCATATAGATAAGTAAATTGAATTCACAACTTATGAAACGCAATTAGAAGTAATCAAATCATATAGCAAGCATAAACATGGTTTCGAATCCCCCCTAGCCAAGGGGGGGTTTAGTTCCTCATACGCACAAAGCAAAGATAAATAAATTTAAACATTGAAATCCAAAGAAAGAGAACACCTAGACGCTCCAACTTGGACAGCAGGTGCATCCACGATTCCTCCTTCCTCTTTGCTGCGGCACATAGATTTTGGACAGGTTTTTGGGGTTATGAATGGTGTGGAATGGATGAAGGATGTATGGTGGTGTTTAGGATGGATGTGTGGTGCGGCAAGGGGTGGTTTTTGGCAGGAATTATGGAGTATGGTGGTGGAAGGCTGCGGCAAAGAGAGGCTCTTTGTTTCTGGGGTGAATGATGTGTATGAGAGGTGGTAATTCAGCCAAGGGCACATAAAACCCTAGGGTGATCAGATATGGACTTGGATAACCCAAATCCACAAGGAAAAAGGCTTAGAAATCAGAATCCACAAGGGAAAAAGTCCACAAGGTGCAGCAGGTTTGGATAGGGTAAGATAAGGCTTCTAGAAAGCCTTGCAAGGCAAGGAAAAGGGTTCTAGAAAGGGATAAGTGCGGCAAGGATTAGGGGAAAAAGGATAGGGCTTCTAGAAACCCAAAACCAAGAGGAAATAGAACCTAACCCACGGCAAGGATAAGGAAATGCTCTAAAACCTTTCTTTGTGTCTTCCAACGCTTAGGAACCTTCTAATGTTGCTGAAACTTAAGGCCATTTAGGTTTAGGAAAGATCAACCCAAAATAGCAACTTTTAGGCTTAACTTTCCTACTTCAAGTAGGAAACCTTGTTTGAGTAGGAATCTTCATTCTTCTAGGAATCCATCTTCAACTAGGAATCCCTCGTTGATTAGGAATCCTTCTTCAATTAGGACTCCTTCTTGGACTAGGAATCCTCAAATCTTCAATTTTGTCCAAACCTTTTGTTCCAAGCATGTGTTATTCAATCCAAGCTCACTTTTGCTCCAAAAAGCTCAAATTTGCATCTTTTTGTATAATATGCCCTTAAAACCTGAAAACACATGAAAATAGCTTAAAAGACTACTTTAACTAAGAAAACATAACGAAAATGCATAAGAACTAGCTAACTAAGGCGCATAAATATGCTCCTATCAAATTCCCCCACACTTAGCTTTTGCTAGTCCTCGAGCAAAACAAAGAAACAAAGAAAAACAAAACGAAACAAAACAAACAAACAAAACCTAAAGCTTCCAACGTCTACCTCAAGGATTTCCAATGCACATGACATATTAAAAATCATCATTCCCACAGATTTTAGTCATCTTCACACTTAAGCACATGCTTAATCATAGTCACTACTTACTAGTTCACATTTAACCAATTAAAACGATGTTTTGAATGTAGTAACATGCCTTAGAGAATTTGCTCAATTCCTTACAAGATATGCACTTAATTTTCACTCAGATTTTCTAACTACACACCCTATACTAGTTATATGTGAGAAGATTGATGTAGACATAAAAACGAACGCTCACATATATATATATAACAAAGAAATCATTTTCTGGAGTTAATAAGCATTTAGATATGATCTCATGAATGGAATGCTACTACTTAGATGCGAGAACCAGTGACACCATATGCTCATACCAATTCTAAACTGCACAAATTGAAACACACAACACTCAAGATTAAAGTCAAGGGTTGTAACGGGGCTTGGGGTATTGGCTAACAAAGAACGGATAAGGATAACAAAGGTTCTTTAAGCAATAGCAAGCAAAGCAATGAAATCGAAACTTAGAATTCACTTTAGAGCGCATAAATCAACTTTTAAACACAAGGGAAGATTCATGCAATACTTAGGGTTGAATTCAATGTTTTGGACCCTTTCTTCAACACTCAACACTTAAGAGCTCATTTCCACATCTTTTTCAACTCTTTTTCATATTTTTCACAACTTTTCTTTTTTTTCTTGCTATTTTCCACGAAATTTCTTTTCTTTTTCTTTTCTAACCCGTGCCTCATTAGAGACTTTGGCACTCACATACATCCCTTCCCCCACACTTGTTTTCTACAATACAT